AGGGGCGACAAAGACCGGAGAGAAGACGGGAGAGTTAGCGCAGAGGGAGGGGGAGCAGCGGGGCGGGGAACGACAGCGTGTGCAGAACGAGGAGCGGAGGAGGAAGGGACTTGGCTTGGCGCGCGAAGCGCGCACGGAGCCCACTTGTATCGTACTGAACGCCTATCCGCCTTTGCGCTCACGGTCGCCGGGTCGCGTGCCGTTTTGACCGACGCGAGAGTGACTTCCGACGGAAGGGTAAGTCAGCGTTGTGATGTTTGACGATTTTGTTCACAGTAGCGTCAAGGTATACGGGTAGGAGATTGTTGGCGTGCTGGATTTTGTTTGTGAGGATCACGAGCACCGCGTTTTTCGCGGTCGTCGTCGCGCCGAGCGCCGTGCACGCTCGGCGATGCCGCCGTCTTCCATGTGCTGCTTCCTCCGCGCGCCGCGGACGGGGAGCTTGCGCAGCATTGCGCGGCGCGTCTCTTTGCGCCCGAGCTTGCCGCGGTGCTCGTCGGAGTGCCGCCGCATGTCTTCGAGCGCCCCGCGCGATGCCGGCGGCGGGCCGCGCCATCGCCTGTTGGGCGGCAGCGTCTCCTTGCGCGAGAGCGCCGACGTGTCCGCACCCCGCTCGCCGACGCCCTCACATCCCCGACCCGCCTCAGATGTGCCATTCGTCTATCCCGTCCTCTACCCGCACCCCCGGTCAACATATCGACACCCCCGCCACCGCCTCCGCCATCATCGGCCGATGCGCTAGACCCATCCACAACAGCCCATGTCGTCAAACCAGGGAATGATGCCTATTGCGGGTGGGGTCCCGATCGAACTCAATGTCTACGATCTTCAGCACCCCGACAACCCGGACGCCGTGCCCGCCATTAACTGGTATCTATACGGCGTCGGCTTGGGGCTTTATCACTCGGGCGTCTCCATTTACGGCACTGACTATTGCTACGGCGGACACGCCGATGACGACACAGGCGTCTTTGAAGTCGTCCCGCTGAAGGCTCCTGATGCGAAGTTTAGGCAGACAGTCTTTGTAGGGAGGACCAGTCTTGACCCGCAGCAGGTGTCAGAGCTTGTCAAGGCCATGGCCCACGTGTGGAGTGGCAACTCATGTAACGTATTAACGCGGTAAGTTCTGACTTCTTTCCGAAGCAAGCATACATTTTTATCTCGTTTCGCAGAAGCCTGACCCCTTCGTCGTCCTCCTATATAGGAGGAACAGCTGGAGCTGACTTCGTTTCGCATTGTATAGTTATTAGGGCCGCTGTGGTAGCTCGCTAGGAAGTGGCGATTATGAGCAAGTTGCTTCAGGTCGCGCGCGCCTCGGGTACGCGGGAGAACACGCATTTGGCCATCAAGATCATCAAGAATAACCCTCTGTACGTGGTGCAGGCGCTGTCTGAGGTACGCATGACCAGTTACTTGAACCGGATCGACCCTAAGGACGGCCATTCCGTCATGCGCCTGCGGGACAAGTTTATCTTTCGCGGGCACCAGTGTCTGGTGCTGGAGCTGCTTTCCTTCTAACTGTACGATCTGCTGCGGTCGACCGAGGTTTACGGTGTCACTCTCAACCTGGTGCGCAAGTTTTGCAAGCAGATCCTCAACTGCCTGCTCGGACGTGAGCATTGCGCACTGCGACCTCAAGCCGGAGAACGTGCTGTTGCGACACCCGCAGCGCAGCGCGATCAAGGCGGTGGACTTTGACGCAAGCTGTCGCATCAGCGAGAGCATGTCTACGTATGTACAGTCACGTTTCTACCGCGCGCCTGAAGTGATCCTCGGGAAACTATACGGGACGCAGGTGGACGTGTGGAGCTTGGGGTGCATGCTGATCGAGCTCCACAAGGGGTACCCGCTGTTCGCGGGCAAGGACAAAGCGCATCAGATGGCGATCATTGCGGAGAGGCTGGGGATGCCGCTAGAAGAGATGTTGCTAGCAGGGCGCAAAACGAGCCTGTTATTCGAGCAGGACAGCGTAACGGGCCGATGGCGCATGCAGCCGGAGGCGTGCCCGTCCGGGGAAGCGGTGATCCCGGGTTCCAAGTCGACCGACGGTTTCGTGGACATTGACATGGGAGCCAGCAACGGACGGCGGAGGACTACTCGATGTTCCTGGGACTAGTGGACAAGATGCTGCGCTACTCGGGGTAGGAGCGGATCTCCGCGTGCGACGCGCTCAAGGAGCAGTTTGTGGTTGGCGGGTGCGACGCGCTCAAGGAGCGGTTTGTGGTCGGCGGGTGCGGCGTGCGGTTGGGGCGCGAGAGCCCGCCGGGTATGCTCGCCATGGCCAAAGATGGGGCGGAAGTGGGCGCTGCGGCGGTGGTGGACCCTGGGCGCAAAGCACCCGTGCAGAAGCGGGCCAAGCGGGTCGGGATCAGTCAGGTGGTGGCGATCCACCCGGACGAGGGCATCGGCGCGGGCGGGCACGCGGACGGCGAGGACGTCGGCAGCAAGCTGCGGCTCTCCAAGAGCGAGTGCGAGTTCAAGAAGGTGCACAGCAGGCGCCGCGCCGAAGAGAAGACGTTCGTGTTCAAGACGTCCGAATGGGTCGACGAGGTAGGCATCGAGCCGCCGCCGTGGCGCGCCGGCGGTGGCGACGACGGCGCGGGTGGCGCAGAAGGCGGGCCGGAAGGGGCAGCGGGGGCGGCGCGGGCCGCGAGGGTGGCGCGCGTGCGGCGGGGCGGGCGCGGCGGCGGCAGTGGGGCGTGGGCCGGCGGCGGGACGCGCGAGCCTCGCGCGCCTTCAGGGCGCGGGTACGAGGCCCACGGCGGGCGGTCAGGGAGGCGACGGCCGAGGTGGCGGTTGGCCTCGGCAAGCTCGCGATGGGCGTGACACGCGGAGGCGCGGCGATAAGGGGCGGGCGCTGACACGGGTCATGTCGCATATGTGATGTAAATGTGGGCCTCATGTGAGGCTGTGAACAGCTGGTAAGCACTTCGGACATTGCACGAATGGCATGTAAGGCGAATTATTTGCACAAATTGAGCACTTCGTATGGAACTACTGGTCCTGCAGAAACAGTGTTTCTGGCCGGCATGAGTGTCTCATCTGTAAAGTATTTAGGGCGTCTGCAGTGCAGCATAGTGCGTTTGCAGTACGAAGGGTACCGTTGGTACCCCCAGCGCCTACGGACTGGAATATCCGCACTCGAGGCCGGTGGACAACCCACACTTATCTACTCTCACGAGCTCCCCCTCCGTGTTTGCTTCCAGGCAGACTCTCCTGTGCGGCGTGATACGCCAGCCCGTTCCCACGCTCTAAGGTACTTGTAGACTCGAGAGAGTTGCTGCAGCGCTTGTTTTCGACCAGGACAACGCAACAATTCCTCGCATCATCACTTATTATGAACTATTTCATCTTTGGACCACACGTTACTTGTTGGGGCTGCGGCGCATCTACGAACATCCCCTTCCCTGCCTACACTGACGATTTCCTCCAGAGCCTTCCTTCTCTCTCCACAACCAGCAGCCGCTCCCGTAAATCCCATCAACCCCACCTTGACCGTGTTCTTTTGCGCAAGTATCCCTTCACTTCACGGTACACGATTGACAAAGACGAGTCATTACAGTGAGCTCTCGTCTCTGCAAGTAAACACACCCAAACTTTCACATCAAAACCTCCTAGATTCTTTCCAAGTCACTCGCACACCTCGCTTTCTTTGTCAATATGGCCTTCGACCATCTCGCTGAAAACACCATCATCGTCCTGTTGGCCTACACCGCCGCCTTCCTCCCGTGGACTGCTCTCACCACCTTTGACTTTATCTCTGCCAAATGGCGCAGGGTACGTGACGTTCGTATCGCCGGCTTCGTCAACCTTGTTCTCGCGCTAGTCCCGGCATTCTACATACTGTTTTACATGGTCGTGCAATCCAATGTCGATCAAAAGGAGATGTTCACTGCGCTGGTCGCTATGCTGTTTGCGTTGCTGCACGTTGTGCGGACGTTATGGGGACTGTGGCAGTTGCAGCTATTTGTCAAGTGGGCTGTCAAGAGCATTGAGTCGTTGCGGGCCCTTGGGATTGAATATGAGCTCAACACGGGCGCCCGTACTGGCCATGATGGGAAGGAGCAAACCCAGAATGGCGAAGAAAGAGAGCAGGAAACCACGAATATCAGTACCACGCAGGAGTCCGGAAATACCGATGACAAGGAAAAAGTGCACTCTGTGGCTGAAATTGTAGATGAACTATGGGTGAGCGATGAAGTGATTGAGAACCGTGTGTTCCATGGGAATGCTCGGTGCTACGTAGTGTTTGACAAGATTGACTTCAGAATAGACCCAAAGAGAAGAAACGTGTTTCGCCAACGCATCGTGCTTCTGTTACAGGCGCTCTCGATACCATTTCGGTATGGGTATGGAATAGTGCAGAAATGGCTTGGGAATGGGTCTATACCCTGCTTTGTCCAGGTACCGCACAAGCCAGAGGATGTGTGGCTGCGATGGTGCGTGGCGTTTGCGGCGCAGGGGTTGAACAAGTGGATAACGGAGTTCACCGTTGCGCCGGAAGTCGATGATGAGGATGGGGCGATAAATAACTTGGAGCGGTACGAAAGACGACGAGAACACATGGCTGGGCGCGTGCTGGCGACGGCCGGAATACAACTGTGGCTGGGGAGTTGTTTGCCGCTGGATGAAGGCAAGTCGCTTCTGTCAAAAGAGGACTTGTTGCGACGAGCGATGACGAGTGGACGTGGAATGCCGTTCGATGCAGTGCAGAGAAATGCAGTCTTGCGGCCTGGAAAGGGGTACAAGGCCTACGAGAGAAAACTAAATCGATTCATTGATGGAATTCCGGTGGAGTTTGAAGAACAAGTGGAAGAGTTGGACATCGAGAGAGTGGAGTGGCTTGCGATTTTGTTGTACATAGGAGAAGAACGGATTCGCAACGGAAGTGCGAGCGGAGATTCTCGTAGATCTGAGGAATATGAGAAACTGGAGCATGACGATTTAGCGATTGAAAATATGCGAGCACAGCTGGGTATGGGCAACAGAACTTCAGTAGTGGATGCAGCGGAAAGAAGAAATGCTAGCATATGCGGATTTCCGATGCCAGAACGATACTTTCATGAAGTATCCAAGGAGAATAGACTGGTGACCAAGGTCGGGGAGCTTGTCGACTGCTGGTTAGCGCTTATGGCGGGAGTGCAAATGCAATTCCTGGTGAGTAAGGACGAAGGATGGCTAAGACGTTGTCTGGGTCAAGTCGAACATGACCAAGAGACTGTGGTGAGCGGAGAAGGCGTGGAGATGGGAGGGATGGAAAAGAGGAGGAGCGGCCTCTTCATGAGACATCTTCGAATTGAAGAAGCGATGCAAGCATTCCAGTTTGGAGTCGTGGGTCAAGAGTTTGAGCAGTTGGAGCAGACATTGACGTTTATGGGATATTCGCTGGAGAGCGTGCGTACGAGACTGGGAAGGTGGGTGAAAGCGAACACGGACTCGCAGAGTGGGGCGTGGAGGCCTTTGATGTTTCAAGCGGGGGAATTGATATCGGAGTGGACGGAGGTTGGGCGTGTATCGAATGATGTGTCACGTACCCTGCGGCAGAGAGAAGGGAATGCAGTACTGAGGGATCGGGCGGTGCAGTGTCGTGTAGTGTGGGAGTTGCAATGTGTTTTGAGGGAAAGGGTAGCGGGAATGGAAGGGAGCCCGAGCAGTATGGTAGCGGTGGCGCTTTGCATGGTCAGTTTTCCGTCGCTGGTTGTGATGAAGACAGAAGAAACGAGCGAGGAAAACAGTGCCACGGATGTCCGGTCAAGCGAGGCAGGGGGGGTGGCAATCTCGGAAAATCGAGATAGTGTGTCAGTATCATTCGGGAATGAGCAAAGGGGTAGGGATGCGGAAGAAGAGAGGAAGAAACGAAGCGAAGAAATGTTTGTGATACTGCCGATTTGTGGGCCTCAGAGAATGAGGCTTCAGGTACAAGTGGGCGACGATGACGATTGGAGCAATAGAGGTGGAGCGGGCGATAGAGGATGCAAAGTGAGAGTACGGTTGTGCCGGGGGGCGACATCGCGAGATGAGCGGTTTGAGTGGGGATGGTGGCGGGAGGCGGCGTTGGGACGTATGGAGGGATTGAGGCGATGGCAGAAGAATCATGGTATGTGTTCGCCAGACTTGCATGCCGGGCACCGGAATATGACGTCAAGCATCGTGAGTGTAAAGCCAAGAGCACACAAAACGGGTACAGAGGTTGAGATGTGGTCGGGATGGGAACCGTTTCGAAGCCAGCAATGCAGATTTGAGCTAGAAGGGGACAAAGTTCTTGCGAAATTTGAAGTGAACATGCGACACGGTGATCTCGTTGTTAGAAAGAAGAACATTACGACATTCTACGCCCAAGCCGTCGGGGAGAGAAGCTTCACGGTGTACGAAGACAGTGACCGCGAGGCCTTACAAGACGGATGTTTGATAGTAGGAGAAGCACTGGCTGAAAAGTCGCCAGGTTGCTTGAGCTCAGTCAGGGCTGGAGTATACGAAGATGAAGAGTTTGCGAAGAACCTGCCAGCAACAGGCGAAGATGTTATTGGGGAAGAGTTGGGCCAGGTCCAAAGAGCCATTTTTCTGTTGAAGGTTGCTGCACTGGAGCATGGTGATATGAACGCGTTGCAGAGATGCGTGAAGCTCCTCACCGACTCGAGTGAGGAGATCACAGAACAAATGATATTGACGAACAGGCGACGAGCTGGAGAATTGGTGCTAGCTTTTTTCCACAGTGTTTTTGTGAGCAGAAAGGGGAGTGGCGGGGTCAAGGGGGGTGGAAGAGAGTTTGAAGTGTTGTTTTCATTATTACAGGAGCTTGTGGAGAAATCGGCTTTTGACAACTATGTCGTGGATGTGGTTCTAGAATTTCTGAAATGCGCAGTAGATCTGAGTATACCTGAGGATGTACGAAGCTGCCTCGTATGGATGCGAAGGTTGATAGCAAGATCACTGAGATTGGAAAAGTTGGATTGTCTCTGTCGTAGATTTGAAGAAATAATTGGAGCGGAACGAGGGCAAGGAGTGGCTATCCGTCGGAAGCAGTTCTTCTTCACGGACAGTGAGGTGAACGAGTACGACGTGTGTACTGTTAACATTTTAGAAAAGACTCTTCTGGAACGTAAGATTGAGGAGCATGATGATGTCGGGGCGATGAACAAGCTAGGACTGATGCTGCAGAACGGCGCAGAAGGAGTAGAAGCCGATGCGGTACGCGCAATGGATCTGTATGAGCTTGCAATATCGAAAGGCAGGGATGGCACCGTGATGCGCAACCTAGGTTGTTTGTTGGAGACCGGAGGGGAGGGGGTCGAGAAGGATGCAGTACGAGCCAAGGAGTTGTTCGAGCGTGCAATCAATGAGCACGGTCATGTCGGGGCGATGAACGATCTAGGACTGATGCTGCATAAGGGCGCAGAAGGAGTAGAAGCCGATGTGGTACGCGCAATGGAGCTTTATGAGCTAGCAATATCGAAAGGCGATGACGGCTCTGCGATGAACAACCTAGGTGGTTTGTTAGAGAAGGGAGGGGAGGGGGTCGAGAAGGATGTGGTACGAGCCAAGGAGTTGTTCGAGCGTGCAATCAATGAGCATGGTTATGTTTTGGCGATGAACAATCTAGGACTGATGCTGCATAAGGGCGCAGAAGGAGTAGAAGCCGATGCGGTACGCGCAATGGAGCTTTATGAGCTAGCAATATCGAAAGGCGATGACGGCCCTGCGATGAACAACCTAGGTTGTTTGTTGGAGACCGGAGGGGAGGGGGTCGAGAAGGATGTGGTACGAGCCAAGGAGTTGTTTGAGCGTGCAATCAATGAGCATGGTCATGTTGGGGCGATGAACAATCTAGGACTGATGCTGCATAAGGGCGCAGAAGGAGTAGAAGCCGATGTGGTACGCGCAATGGAGCTTTATGAGCTAGCCATATCGAAAGGCGATGACGGCCCTGCGATGAACAACCTAGGTGGTTTGTTAGAGAAGGGAGGGGAGGGGGTCGAGAAGGATGTGGTACGAGCCAAGGAGTTGTTCGAGCGTGCAATCAATGAGCATGGTTATGTCGGGGCGATGAACAATCTAGGACTGATGCTGCATAAGGGCGCAGAAGGAGTAGAAGCCGATGTGGTACGCGCAATGGAGCTTTATGAGCTAGCAATATCGAAAGGCGATGACGGCCCTGCGATGAACAACCTAGGTGGTTTGTTAGAGAAGGGAGGGGAGGGGGTCGAGAAGGATGTGGTACGCGCAATGGAGCTGTATGAGCTTGCAATATCGAAAGGCAATAACCGCTCTGCGATGTACAACCTAGGTTGTTTGTTGGAGAAGGGAGCGGAGGGGGTCGAGAAGGATGCGGTACGCGCAATGGAGCTTTATGAGCTTGCAATATCGAAAGGCGATGACGGCTCTGCGATGAACAACTTAGGTTGTTTGTTGGAGAAGGGAGGGGAGGGGGTGGAGAAGGATGAGGTACGCGCAATGGAGCTTTATGAGCTAGCAATATCGAAAGGCGATGACGGCCCTGCGATGTACAACCTAGGTTGTTTGTTGGAGACCGGAGGGGAGGGGGTCGAGAAGGATGTGGTACGAGCCAAGGAGTTGTTCGAGCGAGCAATCAATGAGCATGGTTATGTTTTGGCGATGAACGATCTAGGACTGATGCTGCATAACGGCGCAGAAGGAGTAGAAGCCGATGCGGTACG